AAGGTGAAGGCTCCATGGCGGGATGTCTCTCATCTGTAGTATATGTGGTACCTGAATCTAGATCTGTAGAAGGAACTAGGGCTACTATGGTACCGGGATCTGGATCTGTAGAGGGGGCTGGGACTAGCCAACACTACTGATGTCTGAAATCAACATGTCTCCATCGTCTGTGATAAACTCTCACATCCCTGCACCTTTGACAAACTTCCCCACTGCACCCTTCTTCACTTAATGGGATTGGTAAAGGAACTTCTGATGTACTAATCCCAACCTCACTATTCTCCCCCTAAGGAGAAACCCGTGGATAATAGGATTTATCCTCAAAAAATGTGACAACCATTGAGACAAATCTTTTTCCATAAGTGGGTTCATAATAGCAATATCCTTTTTGAGTTTGTGCATAACCAAGGAAAATACATTTGGAAGCCTTAAGATCAAATTTTGAACGATGAGGACCAAGGATTTGAATGAAGCAAGTGCAACCAAAGGTTTTAAGTGGAATGGTGAACAATTCTCTATCAGGGTATAGAAGGGTAAATGGAGATTTCATGTCAAGAACCCGTGAGGGAATCCGATTGATGAGATATACTGCTATAAGAATAGCATCCCCCCAGAAACGTATAGGCACATTTGAGGTAAACATAATGCCTTTGGCTACCTCCAATATGTGTTTATTCTTTATTTCAGCAACCCCCATTCTGTTGTGGTGTATATCGGCAGGTACTCTGATGGATAATCCCATGGTCAAGCATGTAGGAGGCTAATGGGTTTGCAAAATATTCTTTTGCATTATCGGATCTAAAAATTTTAATTTTGACCCCAAATTGGGTTAAAATCATTTGATGAAAGATAGGGTTAATGTTGGGTCCTCATCTCGAGAACGCATAAGGTAAACTCGGGAAAACTGAGTATAATCATCAACAAATAACAGGAAATATCTATACCCCCCCCCATGGTAGTGGTATGATAGGGTCCCCAAACATCAATATGCACAATTTCAAAAGGAATATTGTTCTTGTTATTACTTAATGAATAGGTTGTCCTACAATGTTTTGCCAACTTACAACTCTAACATTTCAAACTAGACATCTGGACAAATTCAAATAAACTAGGAAACAAATTTTTCAAGGCCTGAAAGGATAAATGACCCATCCTATTATGCCAAAGCATCACCTGATCAACAGACTAAGAAACAAAGGATTTCTTAGGTAGATTTCATTTGTCTAATGACCAGTCCCAATCACCTTCATTGTCTCCATATCTTGAAAAATACACCGATTAGGAAAAAAGGTTACTAAGCAATTTTGTTTTTTTTGTAATGCTACTAACTAAAAACAAGTTAGTATTAAGCTTAGGAACATGCAAGGCGGAGAATAGGGAAATGGCATAAGAAAACTTGATGTCTCCTTTGCCAGAAATAGGGACAAGGGATCCATTAGCAATGGACACTTTGTCTTTACCAAAAGATAAATGATAGGTACAAAAAAGTGATGGCAAGCCAGTCATATGGTCGGATGCTCCTGAATCTATTATCCAAGAATGTTCTGTATTACCTAGAGCTGAAGCATGATAAGCTAAGGCCCGATTACCTGATCGAGCAAAAGATGAGGTTGACGGAACTGCTAGTAGCTGAGGAGATGGTATTGAGTTACTAACTTCACTTTCCAACTATGTCAGAACAGCTCGGACAACAGCTAGGGTGTATAGAGGAGTGCCTCTGTTATGGGCCCGAGCGTAGGATCGCGTCACGGGTCATTCCACGGCAGGAACCCCTGATCTTCCCTTGCCTTTGGCCTTGCGCACAGACCCTATTTTGCCTATCTAGTGGGTGATTTGTCCAAGAGACCACCCGAACTCTCCCTTGGGGTGATTTGTCCAAGAGACCACCCAAACTCTCCTCACTCGTTTCTTGACTGGAAAACTGAATGCTTTATTTCAATTCGTAGCTCCTTAAATAGGAGATTACAAAAGAGAGTTCCTTGTTGGATTCGGCTAGGCTAGGGTAATCCAACTCAACTAAAACTCCTAATTTCCTACTTAAACTAAGACTCATAACTCTTACTTAAGAAGATAAAATAAGATAAGGATAAGATAAAGGATAAATGATAAGGGATAAGGGATAAGGGATAAGGGATAAGATTAAGCTGGCGGCGAGTTGACGTGTCCAGATAAGGGTGGGCCCACCCCTATGAGCTGTCGTGTGGGCCCTGCTTTGCTACTGCTGCTGGGTGCGTGCGCGCGGCTCATGGTGTCGCTGTCGCGCGGTGCGTGCGCGCAGTGCTGCTGCCGTGCAATGCGTGTGTGCGGCTCATGGTGCCACTGCCGTGCGGTGCCGGCGTGTGCACAGTGCGTGTTGCCGCGTAGTGCGCGCTGCTGCCTGGTGGTGCATGCTGCGCGCCATGGTGCCGTTGCCGTGCGGTGCCAGGCGTGTGCGTGCAGCGCTCTATCAAGCTGTATGTGCCGCGCGCTGCCGGGCGATGCGTGCTGCTGGGCGGCCCGCTGTGTGTGCTGCTGCCTATGATTGCGCCGCAGCGTGCTGCCGGGTGGTGTGTCCATAATAGCCTCTTGAGGCTGTTGAGGTTGTACTATCAGTGTTAACAATTATATTGACATTCCCCTTTTTGTTTCTGAGTTTTGCTGGAACCAAATGTGGATGTAACTTCCAACAAGTGTCTTTAGTGTATTTAGGTTTCTTGCACTAGGGAATAGGCTTGAGATAGAGCCACACCCTCTCTTGTCAACAACTGTTGTCTTATAATATCATACTCAAAATTTAAACCAACCAGGAACTCAAATACTCTGTTAGTTTCAACTTGTCTTTTGTAAGTTTGTGCATCTCTCTGACTTTCCCATTCTATTGTCTCAAGATGGTCAATTTCATGCCACAGAGATTTTAGGGTTGAAAAATAAACAGACATGTTTCTCTCCTTGTTTGAGATTTCTAACTTTCCATTTCAACTCATAAACCCTAACAACATTAAGGGGATAAGAGTAGGTTTCTTTCACAACATCCCATATTTCTTTATCTGTTTTTGCTCATAAGTAATTTTGGCTTATGTGTGGCTGCATGGAGTTGCACAACCATGTCATCACCAAATAATTTTCCTGAATCTACCTAGAATAAGTGGGATCCTCCTTAGTTGGTTCCTTCACATCCCCCAACAAGTAATTCAACTTTCCTCTTCCCCATATGGCCATCATGGCTGATTCGGCCCACTCTGAGTAGTTTGAACCATCAAACTTTTCAATTGTAATTTGGAAGGTGTTTTCAGACATGCTACCTGAACCTATCCCTAAAACACCCTCCCCTTGGCTTTTAAACTCCATTAATGATCAGTAAAAAAAAAAACTTCCTAATTACTGTACCAGTCGGCTTACTAGGTCTGTAGTAGGTAATAGCAGTAAAAGAAGCCCTAATTTCTGTGACAGTCAGCCTATTGAGACTTGTAGTAGTAAAAAAAAAAAGTAACAGTTTTGTTATAATAGTCCTGCTGAAACAACTACTGGATCTTCCAGAGAGCAAAGAAATAGAGGGAGACAAGTCCTGAAGCAATAACAACCTTGAAACTTGAGGGTTTTCTCTTAAACCCTAAAAAGGACTACAAGAATTTTCTAGAGTCTTTTTCCGCACCTCTTATATCAAGGTATTCTTGCTGCCAATCTTAAGAAAGATTGAAAACTTACCAAAAAAATCTGAAAAGCTTTGATCTTGATGAAAAACTTCTAGGATTTTGATTGTCTCTCTTGGTCTTGAAGAGAAAAAACTGATATTGAACCAGAAATCTTCTGAAATTCTGATTGCCACCTCTAGTCTTAATCAAGAACTGATCTTGATCTTCTAATCTTGAAGGGGAAATTCTGATCTTGAACATAAATCCTCTAAAATTCTGATCACAACCTCTAGTACCGATCGAATAGAAATCCTTTGAAATTCTGATCGCCACCTCTAGTACTGATCAAGGATTGATCTTGATCCTTTTCTCTTCTTCTGATTCTTCCTGGTTATCAAAGATATGATCCAATCTTTGGACTACTACTATAGATAACCTCCAAGAATCAGTCGAAGAGAGCTTTATCTATTCTTCCAGCCCTAGGCAACTCTCATGTGGTTGGCTAGACCAAACTCACATGAAAATCCCTAATCCAAGCTCTATTACCAAGTAGTCGTACAAGACTACATATTTGAACAAAAAATAAAAGAAAATTGAAAGATAAGAGAAGAGAAGAAGAACTCGTGGAAGGGTTTTAGGCAAAAAGTGTGGTTGATTATCTTAAACAATCACCCCACCCTTTGAATTTATATACATGCTTTCATAATTGTAATAGGACTTAATGTTTACATGGCAAGATAAGATAAGATTAAAACTAATCCTACTAGGAAAGCTAATCCTAATCAAGACTTGATTAAATCTATTCTATTAACCCTAATCAAGACTTAATTAATCTTGCAAAGTTTCCTACGCTATTCTATTGACATTGAACAAGCACATACCTATTTGTACCTAATCTGTTTAGATGTCTATTTAGCTGCGTTTTGTAAGACTTTGGAGTGAAAATGGTTAATCAAAGTGAATTTGCACTCCAGTTAAGCTTTGCAGGCATTTGGTAGGATTACATTTTTTTATTAGAAATAAAAACAGATTTGTTTTTTCTGGCATTTTTCTTTTGCACTCAGTTGGTCAATGTAAATCCATCAAGATAAAAATTTGGTCAATGTCAAAAAAATAGTTTCTGGTCTTGAAATCCATTCTTGTATCCATCACAACCAAACACAATACAGAATTTATCAATACAAAACCAAACCAAGTTAGAAAACGTATTTGCATTTGCACTCTTACCAAACTCAACCTTACTAATTAAGAGGGCTCAGAGAAATTTTAGCTCACAGGATCAAGATCTTAATTATTTAGTATACATAACAAACTGATAACAGGGGCTGAGTATGATGGATTAAGAGGATTCAGAGGTTTTGTATCTTTTGATTACAGAAATGCATCATATGATTGTTCAGGAATTTAGCCTTTTCTACTTCTTCCAGTTCAATGAAAGACTACAATATTTAGAAAGACAAATACCTCAGCCTACCAGTAATGGACAAGACCCAAAATCTTGTTAACATTCTGGATTGCACTCACTTCATTCAACTGCACAACCGCACTATAGCACACGAAATGAACCATAAAACTAATGACTGGCAGAATGGAATATAATTCTAACAATTGATTATAGTAGGCAATCGTGTACGTGTGTATCACTGCACAAAAGTATGGCCGTTTCCCAGCAAATACCTCACTTTGTTTCAAGGGATTTGTTGGCTAATCAACTGACATTAGAGACAACCGAATATCCTGTTATGTATTGCATAGCAAAAAGAATAATAAAAATAATGAGAAATAATATTAGGCAGATCTTATTTTTTCACTCAGTAGCATGTTTCTCATGTAGCTCTCCATTCTGTCTTAAGTGATAAAATGGATCGATCCAGCGATCATCTTCCCTCACAGCTTGGTCCCATCGCTGCTTGAATATTTCAAGCTCGGCTGTTGACTGCCTACGGATCTGTGACTCAGATGTAATACAAAATACATGATATTTAAGTCATATAAAAGCAGTCTTATCATTACCCAAAAGAAAGTTGTGGCAAAGCAGGCTAAAGAGTGAAAAAATCAAAGATATGTATAAAATCTATTCAGAAAATGATAAAATAAAAAGCAACTGTTGGTTTCTTACATGGGTTCTTAAATCAATTGATCTGTCACTCTGCACACACAGATAAAAAACAAAGAATCATAATATTCTCCTGACTGAGAATTTGGTAATTGGTAGTACATTGAAACAGTAAAAGCAGTATCAAAGAAACTACCTTCACAGGTGAATGTTCTGGTGACTTACGATCTGGAGGTGGCTGTATAAATATCAAAAATAAGATCAAGGATAAGTTAATCCTCATTGTATGAGAAGAGTAAGGAGAGAAAGGAAAGAAAGAAATGGAAAATAATAAAAGAGGGATAGTCAGATAGGAACACAAGAACATGAAGACATCATCACATACAACTAGATGCAACACATTGAAATCTAGCATTCATTTGGTCCTTACCAAGGATGTATCTGAAAATAGATCCAATTGTATAAACACAATCAACTTAGCTTTCTAGGTACTCAATGTAAACATTTTTATGTCAGGAAGAGTGCAACACCTCATGGGTAAACATCATCCAACTATTGTCATGGAGTCTTATAAGGTCAACTTCCTGAACTCCTTAAGGAGACATGCATGCACTGTCCTAACCATTTTTCTATGCAACTTCACAGAGGCAATTTTTGTTTTTGAAAACTCTCCAAACTGACCACATAATGGCTGGGGTATTTTATTCCCCAGGGCCTTGCCCTTTTACTTAGGCCTGTGGCTCACAACAAATATGCCAAAAAAATTGGTTTAAAGATCTGCAGTGAATTTACAATTGGTGAATGTTTGTTTCATCAATATCATCATTCAAGCAAAGGGCGCAATAGGTCAAGTCTCTCACCAAATTGTCTCTTGTGAGAATCCAAAATGGATGCTACATGCAACATGAAATGAATCTTGGTGGGATGGGGATCTCCAAATCAGTTCACAAGAAAAGCTTTCACCTTCCACCTCTTACCCAAGGAAACTACCCACCGCCATGAAAGCATTCTTATATGTTGTATGTATTTATCCCCCCTTACAATTGACTTATTAGAATCATTGGAATTTCAAGAAATTCTTTTGTTGCTTATATTTTTGGAAATAATTCCCAGTTAAAATCATCTCTCCTTTTATTCATCCTTCTAAATAACATGAATTAGTTCCCATAACTGCCCCAAAGGGATTGTTTCACATTTGAATCATGATTCACGCAATCTGATGCAGAATTATTCTTGAATCAAATTTCATATTAAACTGAACCGCAATTTGTAGAAGTTAAGGACACTAGCCTTAAAAATTACTACCCCCTAATTATTTTACCTAAAGACTACAACTTTAAGTACGTGATTTCCAACTTTGTTAAGATGTTGGCATGCCCCTCCATCAGTAGATGTTTCATGAAAGATCTATTGATGTAATCATTTGCTCTTCTCTAAAATATATTGGTGGTGTTAAAGTATCTGGGGAAGTCATACAATCAACTTACTACATCAAAATCTTTTATAAAATATTTTTCTCATTCTCTTTCTTCTTTCTCTTTCATGGTTCTAATATTTCAAATTCTTTTATTAAAGACTAGCCACATCAGAAAAACTGTTACGTTTTAAAATGGGACGTAATGTAAATTCTGTCTACCTCAAGGGAGACAGAGACCTCTGAGAGATAAATCTCAAATAACAAGGGATAATTCTCATAATAATTTAATTAAGAGGAGAATTACAATTTAAATAGACTCTTGAACAATAATCGACTCCTAAAGACTTTGATCTCTACCATAATCCGCATATCCTGCTAAATGCAACCATTCTCTACATAACTACCAACATGGACCCCATAAGACTCAACGTGAGTGCATTACATGGACTTACACGGACTCTAACTGACTCAAGTAAACCACAGCTGAGGACTGCTCTGTAGGGAGAGCGTGAAGTCTGTGTGAAGAAGGGTGTTTTTTATGAGTGTTTATGCAGGAATGGTGAGACAAGAGCAGAAGTCTCTGAAACATAATGGCCAAAAAAGAATAAGAGGATGAGAACGGTAATATTCTGAATGAGGATGCCAAAGTGGAGGTGTTCAGTAAGCGGATATGGCAGAGGAGAAATGCAAATTTAGTGTTTTCGGCAGTATCCTAACAGACAAGAAGATTAACCTAAAAGGTTAAGGCCTACAAGTCTCTGTTTTCCCAACAACGGGTCTTTGCCTTCCTCTTGGGGCTGAACCCTGTATATGACCCTCAGAATTCAGATATTAGGAAGTAAAGATCTTCCTTCAGTGCAAGAAGTGTATGCTCTAGTACAATCTGAAGAGAGTAGGCGAAGTGTGATGAATAGCTCCGAGGGGGAGAAGATTGCCTTAGTGGCTAAAGGGAGTATAGGTGTAGGAAGCAATAATTCCTTTAAGAAGGGTGACTTCCAAAAGAGAGTGGATGAAAAGGATAAGTTATGGTGTACTCATTGCCAGAAGGCCAAACATACCCAAGATACTTGTTGTGACCACCATGGAAAGCCAAAGTGGGCCCAAGAGTTGAGTAAGAAATCAGATCAGAATATGAAACCGGACAGCAGAGTCAAAAAAGTCTCAATACAGCAAACTTGGACTCCCAAGAGCCTCAATCATCTACTGCTATTCACCAGGACCGCCCATCCGCTGCCGATCCCTGAGAAGATATCATTAATTCTTTCCGTGACCACTTGGATCTGTATGCAAGAGCAACCCGTCAAATGTATTCTGCTCCTCCTGCCTTGACTTCTTTTACATCTACTTCAGGTAATGGTAATCTTGCCACAACCTTCCATGTGTCCTCCCATTCACCTGATTCCCCTTAGATAATTGACTCTGAATCCTCAAACCATATGACGGGTAAGCCAAATTGTTTTCAGCCCTATCAACTTTTATCTGGTAGGGACAAAGTGAGATTAGCTGATGGTTCTTTTTCCACCATAGCTGGTGAAGGAACCATAACCCTTCCTTTGGACTTACCCTTTCTAATGTATTACATGTTTTGAAATTACCTATAAACTTGTTTTCTATCAATAGCATTACAAATTCATTAAATTGTTCAGTGACCTTTTTCCCTTCTTCTTGTGCTCTACAGGATTTGGACTCAGGGAAGATGATTGATAGAGGTCGTATGGTGGATGATCTCTACATGTTGGAGAACAAAGCTAGTCTTGCAGTCATTGAATCTATGAGTTAGTCTAGTATGAGTCAAGTTTACTTATGGCATAGTCGTTTGGGTCATTTATCTTTTGAGGCGCTAAAGGTCTTACTTCCAGATTTATTTAAATTAGTGTCAGTGTATGAGCTCAAAATGGTGTGCCGAAACTCCTCAACAAAATGGTGTTGCAGAAAGAAAAAACCGCCATCTACTTGAAGTGGCTCGTGGGTTACTCATCCATATGAGTGTTCCAAAATGTTTTTGGTTGGATGTAAGGTTCAAAGTATCGATACGATACGAGTTTCAGTCGTATCGTATCGGTACTTAGAAACGGCCGAAACTTTATTTTTTTTTTTAGTTTTTTTTCACATTTTGGTTTTTTGGGAAGCTTTTAGCATGCTTTTTATTATCAAAAAAATTGGGGGTCCGAAACACCTGGAAACAGGCGTTTCAGACCGTATTTTTTCAAAAGATACGATACGATACGCCCTGTATCGGGCATATCGTATTGATACTTTGAACCATGATTGGATGTTGTGTTATGTGCTACCTATCTCATCAACCGTATGCCATCTCGGGTGTTAGAGCACAAGGCCCCTCATCAGCTCCTACTTGTGTCTTCTTGGGCTATCCTTCTTCTCAAAAGGGTTACCGTTGTCCCGATCCTGTTTCTCAGAAATACTATGTTTCTATGGATGTCTTTCTTTGAGAGTGATCCTTTCTTTCCAGTTTCTCCTTAGGGAGAGAATAGGGTGGAGGAGAAACAATTTCAAGTGCTATCTCCTCTACTTAACCCTCCTCCGTTCCATGTCTTCTCCGTCGCCACAAGGGCCAGCTAGGTTCAAAAGCTGTGAGCAACTTGAAACTGTACGCCAACATCATCAGATTCATTGGGGACGGATTCCGTCCCACTAGGTACTATTATTCTTGTTGACATTCCTGATCCTATTGCTATTGATTCTTCTTCTGCCAATGACCTTGACATCCTTATTGCACAAAGGAAGGGAGTTAGGTCATGTACCACCAAACATCCTATCTCCCACTTTATCTTATATGATAACATCTCATCCTCGTTTCGTGCTTTTCTCTCTTCCATTGATAGTGTCCCTATCCCCAAAAATGTGGTAGAAGCTCTTTCAGTACCTGAATGGACAGATGCAATGAAAGAAGAGATTGATGCATTACATAAAAATAGTACATGGGAATTAGTGGATCTTCTTGTGGGAAAGGAACCAATAGGGTGCAAGTGGGTTTTTGCAATAAAGCACAGGGCTGATGGTACAGTAGAAAGGTACAAAGTTCGGTTGGTGGCGAAAGGGTTTACTCAAGTGTATGGAGTAAACTATGCAGAGACATTTGCTCCTGTTGCTAAGATGAACTCCATCAGAGTTCTTTTTTCTCTTGCTGCTAACCTTGATTGGGATCTCCACCAGTTAGATATTAAAAATGTCTTCCTGAATGGTGATCTTGAAGAAGAGATGAACATGGTGCGACCTCGCGCTTTCTATGCTCAAGACCAAAAAAAAGGTGTAGGTTAAAGAAGTCCTTGTACGGACTAAAACAATCATCGAGAGCTTGATTCAACAAGTTTCATCTAGCTATACAGCAGATTGGTTATAAACAATGTCAGATTGATCATACATTATTTGTGAAAAAAGGAGGGGAAAATTGCAGCCTTGATAGTGTATGTTGATGACATAGTTATCACAGGCGAATGGAAAGTGGAAATTCAGAGACTAAAGGAGTTCCTAGCCACTCAGTTTGAGGTGAAGGATCTAGGTCCCTTGAAGTATTTTCTTGGAATTGAAGGGGCCCGTTTGAAAAGGGGGATCTTCATTTCTTAAAGAAAATACATCCTAGATTTAAATTTCAGATTTAAGTATATTTATATATAGATTATTTAATATAAAAAGGGTTTTGAAAAAACACATGTAAACAGGTGTATCGGGGTTCAAAGATACGATACAATACGCCCCGTATTGGGCATATCGTGCCGATACTTTGAACCTTGTCTCTACCTGCTATTGGGGTCCTCTTGTTAGTGGTGCACTTACTCTATCTTCATTGGACCTGTGAGAAG